GGGAAATTTCATAAAAATGACATTTTTTTTCTTTTGCAGTTTGACTTGCCAACATATAGTATAACCCCCAGTAATCATCCCGTCAGGTACCCCCCACAGTGTGTGACACCCAGTCACCCCATCCCCCCACCCACCTCCCCTTCCACTACCCCTTGTTCATTTCCCAGAGTTAGGAGTCTCTCGTGTTCTGTCTCCTTCACTGATATTTCCCCCTCATTTGCTCTCCCTTCCCCTTTATTCATTTTCAGTATTTTTATATTCCCCAAATGAATGCGACCATACACTGTCCTTCTCCAATTGACTTACTTCACTCAGCATAATACCCTCCAGTTCCATCCACGTCAAAGAAAATGGTGGGGATTCATCACTTCTGATGGCTGAGTAATATTCCACTGTATACATAGACCACATCGTCTGTATCCATTCATTGCCGATGGACACCGAGGTTCCTTCCACTGTTTGGCTATTGTGGACATTGCTGCTATGAACATTGGGGTGCAGGTGTCCTGGCATTTCACTCATCTGCATCTTTGGGGTAAATCCCCAGCAGTGCGATTGCTGGGTCGTAGGGCAGGTCTATTGTTAACTCTTTGAAGAACCTCCACACAGTTTTCCAGAGTGGCTGCACCAGTTCACATTCCCACCAACAGTGTAAGAGGGTTCCCCTTTCTCCATATCCTCTCCCACATTTGTTGTTTCCTGCCTTGTTAATTTTCCCCATTCTCACTGGTGTGGGGGGTACCTCATTGTGGGTTTGATTTGTATTTCCCTGATAGCCAGTGATACGGAGCATTTTCTCACGTGCTTGTTGGCCATGCCTATGTCTTCTTTGGCACTCTGTTTCAATCATCTTCCCAAGGGTACTTCTACATCTTCTCAAAAGAGATTAAAGATAACCCCTAAAAAGAATAGTCTGGAGGACAAGTATGTCTGAGAATATAATATTCATAATAAACAGCTTCAAGGTCTTTCTTTCATCAAACCAAAAGTAAGCTCCCAAAAGGAAATTGAAAGGAAATCCTAAAGTAAACCTTTTGATCATCACTTTGTATGTATGTACCCTTCCATATTGTTCTAGTTCATGAACCCGTACCTAAGCATCTTCACCGAATTTCCATTTTAACTGTATTTTGAACAGGGTAAATCAAAGTTGCATTTCATGCCCACATCCCAATCCTGTAGCTCTGGGCTAGTGACCTGCAGTTGTCACTGAGCTATTGGACCATCAGTCACTGAACAAGTCCCTCATCCATTACATGCCTAGAAATGCTCATCTACAGGGCCACACCTTGCCCCATATTTTGAGGGGCTTCAGTGGACGGACAACCCAGGATACATAATACGTATTTAAGAACTCATTTTGGCATAGTCCTTTGTGTGGAACACACATAGGAAGCACACATGCTCGTGGTCAGCCCACAGATCGTGAAAGGTATGGATGTAGGTTCCACCCTCCACCATGCAGGTCGACATCTGTCAGAGTTGGGGCAAATTCTCATGGATTGAAGCCTATGACAGCACCTCCCACTCCCTTCTCCCGACAGTGCTTGGCTATCAATCCTCTACTCTCTACTTCCATGACTTGGACTATTTACATACCTTGTGGTCACACAAACACACGGTATTTGTGTTTCTGTGATTGGCATATTACACTTACAATAATGCTCTCTAGCTTTGTTCGAGTCAGTAAGGGTCTGAGAATCCACTAGAAAGATCCAGGAGACAGTTGATGACTGACCACACTCTCAATGAAAGTAGGAAGAGTGGTTGGGCCCCTCCCTAACAACAAGATTGCTAATGCCATGTTTCCCTAGATTTCTGTGTGGAGAACCTTGAGGATTGAAGGAATGAGATGGGAAAATCTCCAGGTAGGAAACAATGCTGAGTAAACCCAATGGGAGAGATTCCCTGGGGAAAGTTGGGTTAGAGCTGCACATTTGGAGACTGAGCAAGTTGCATAGGAAATCAGATAAGAAAATGAGTTATGTGTAGGAATCACATTTGTCTACTTTATAACATAAATAGTCGTGACATAATACTAGAAAACATGAGTTCAGTGTGCGGGGTTTGTGAACATCTGTTCTCACTTTCTAAAAAGTACCTTTCCCTACACTTTCCCCTCTTTGCCAAAATCAAATGTCCAATCTCGGTTCTGTCTGGTTGACATCACTTGGGAATCATGCATGAAAGAGTTAGGATCTTTCTTGTCATTGACCTCCAGGGCACATAATCTGTGGCGACACAAGAACTCGCTCCCAGATACCTGAGCCTGGAGACCTGTAGGCTGTGCCAGGTGGTGGGTGGGAAGTAAAGTCTATAACTGACAGGACATGTCACATCATGTTCATGTCTCTGTCCTCACTTTGCCTCCTCCTCCAAGACCTCTCGTGCAGCTGGATTCATTAAAGACTATTTGCTGTGGAGCTCTGCACGTGCTCCATTCTAGTTTGGGCCTTGCCACCCTCCACACCTCACCTGAGTGTGATGTAGAAATGTGTTTCCTTCTTAGTGCGACCTCTGCACACATGCTCTGGAAGTTCTCAGTGGATGGTAGGATTTCTTTTCTTTCTTTTTTTTTTGTTTGTTTTGTTAGCCTTTTAGTCTTTTTTTAATAATAAATTTATTTTTTATTGGTGTTCAATTTGCCAACATACAGAATAACACCCAGTGCTCATCCCACCAAGTGCCCCCCTCAGTGGCCGTCACCCATTCACCCCCACCCCCTGCCCTCCTCCCCTTCCACCACCCCTAGTTTGTTTCTCAGAGTTAGGAGTCTTTATGTTCTGTCTCCCTCTCTGATATTTCCTACCCATTTCTTCTCCTTTCCCTTCTATTCTCTTTCACTATTATTTATATTCCCCCAAATGAATGAGAACATATAATGTTTGTCCTTCTCCGATTGACTCATTTCACTCAGCATAATACCCTCCAGTTCGGATGGTAGGATTTCTAGAGGGCTGTGTCAAGGGGCTGTTGGGGCTCCACCACAGACTTATTCTCATGGACCTGCTCACCTGCCACCTGACATTGATCAGGTCCAGGACAGAGACTCTGGGGAGCAATGCAGGGGTCTCTGCTCCCCTCCAATCCAGTAGTACAGCCACACAACCCTGGCCCTGCCTCCTATCAGGCCCCTGGTATCACCACACTCTGATATTTCCTCAGGCTTCTCCAGAACGTACATCCCCATCCTCTCTTTCCAACGTCTTGGGCAAACTCTGGCACGTAGCATGTGTTCATGTGGCCCTACTGTTATGGATATTGGAATAGAACTGTAGGTACAAAGTCAGAGGTCAACCTCCACAATACACAGGGGAAAAGACCCAGGCTGGGGAGGACCTAAGGAAGGGACAGATCATCTGGAATTCAGGGCACCTCAACCCTGGAGAAGTGAGGTCTAGGATATCACTGCCAGTAGTTCTGTACTTTACTTTCCCCCACCCACCCTGAAATCATTGCTGCGCTGTCGATTGGAAATGAGTCTGTGGATTCAGGGGATTCCAAGGAATGAAAAAATATGGTGCCTGTAATGTATTTGCTCCTTCATCCTTTTTCACTTCCTCTCTTTGCTCTCCACAGTTCCTCTTTATACCGCTCATCCATTTTCTCTTTCTAGGACTCTGGCCCTGTAGATCCTGGTATCATCCAGGCACTGGAAGCCTTGCCTCATCAGGGTCTAGGAAATCTCTGCAGCCACTCTCACCCCCTTCCTTAGCACTGCCCTGCACCTGACCCTGGGCCTGCACCACTGATTCATGGTGAGTGATCTGTCCTGAATGGCCCAGCAGGGAGCCAGGCTGTGAGTCAAAAAGCCAGCCAATCTGGCTCTGCCCAGTACAGTCTCCCTGCACACGGGTGACTCTGCTCATACTTGAAATCTTCCCTTCCTTTCAGCTGTCAAACCTTCTCCATTACAGGACCCAGGAGAAAGAGCAGAGGATGCAGTTTCTCAGCAGGAACACAAAGCCATGTAAATGTGCAGGGCCTGCCATGAAAAGGGTAAGGGAAAGAAGTACACGTGTTGTTTATCACTCCCTCAACTTTCTTGGTGGGTCTGCAGCTTGATCAGCCAAAATGCCTAGGTAGCTGCTCTTGCCTAGGTTCAAAAAATGAGGATGGCCGACATCTATGCAGGCCACTGGAGGATGCCCTGAGCACATCCCCCAGGGACCCAGTAGCTACTCCCATCATGCAGCAGAGCATGAAGGGCTATGTCCGCCAGCAGCTGCTTCCCTTGGACGCAGGGCTCTGGGTGCCTGAAGGCCATCATGGGCAGGCCTGGAGGAGGTGTTGTGCATTCTTTGCTTTCTGAAGGGCACCCTTGATGCTGTTCTTCATCTACCTCTGCAGGACACAGCCCTGCCTTTGTAACAGGCTCAGGTCAGCAGAGAGCTTGCTCTGTTAATCACTAGTTGTGAAGAGACTTTTGGGGGTGGTCCTGTGCTCCCCCTACCAGGCATCTGTTAAATGAGGGAAGGCACAGGGCACTCCAGTGTTCCCGCAAGCACGACTGCTCCCCTCTCCCAGATTTGCATTCCTCTGGCACATGGTAGGCCCTGGTATCGAGGTGGGAACATGATGGGATCCCCATTTTTGAGCATAGGTTTTTCTTGGTTGAGTGTTCACTTGGTTTTACAGATATGTAACTGGTTTTTAGAGCTCTCACAAAGCTGTTCTGGTCAGCGTGTTGTTTAGTTGATGTTTTCATTGGGGGAAGTTGGGCTGGAGCTTCCTAGTCTCCCATTCTGCAGATATCACTCTCTCTCAGTTTTCTTTTAAATTTATTTTTTGTTTTACCTTAGTTGTAGTAATCATTTCAGACTATTAACTCTAAGAAATGAACAATGGGTAGTGGAAAGGGAGGTCGGTGGGGGGATGGGGTGACTGGGTGACAGGCACTGAGGGAGGCACTTGACGGGACAAGCACTGGGGGTTATATGTTGGCAAGTCAAACTCCAGTAAAAAAATATACAAAAAAAATAAAAGAGAGAAAGGCCAAGTATAATATAATCTATGTTTTATTTTATACATCCCTGATTGTTAAAATCTAAACAGAAGTTTTGCTTAAACATAAAAAGAAAAAGAGAAAACACATTGATAGGATTAAGTACTAGGAGCAGAAGGAGGGTGTGCAAGGAAGGCTGTCCTGGAAAGGGTTGCACATTTGCAGGCACACCAGCAGAATGGCCCACAAAGCTTGGACACAGTGAAGGCTGTGCTTAAGCCATAGCTCAGTCCTGAGGCTTGGGCATAGAAGGCGTCTCCTTCCTGCTCCTCCCCAATCCAAGCTGCATGGACACAGAACAGGGCCAGCATATCCCTTGAGTGCACTGGACATGTCTCTTCCTTCAGCATCTTCAGGCCAGAGTCCCCTGCTCTCCACACATACATGTGCACTTATGTGCACTCACCAAGCACAGGGGTACACACTTATGTCCAGGAACATGCAGTCACATCGACACACAAACAAAGCTTCTGATTTCAGACCTCCCTCACCCTCACAGGCTCAGGTTCCAACTCCAGAGTCAAGATGTGCGTCAGTGTCATTAGCAGACTGACAAAGGGCCACTGCAGAGGCAGGATGTCAACCATCCTTCCTGAGGACCCAGCCAGGGAGAAACTGTATTCTGTACTCTTCTGGTGTGAAGGAAAATTCAACTGAGCAACTGGGGCTGCCTGAGTTCATTAGGGAGGTACAGATGCTGCTTCTGAGATGCCATCCAGCCCTGCTTCACTTCTCAAAAACCAGTTGATAAGAAAGCACAGAGTCAGGAGCCCAGTTCCTAGGAGGTCCCCCAGGCCTGTGAGATAGGGGATACAGTGGTTGTCTGGATCCAGGGCCTGGTGCCATGTCAGTCGAACCATCACTTCTGCCAGGTACAGCAGAATCGTCACCTGGCAAGCAAGACACACACAAAAAATGACAACTAAGTCAGAAAGCCAAGTGTCACTAAGAAACACTAGCAGATTTCAAAGGCGGAAACCAAGGTGACCATGTCAACTCCAGGGAGTTTCCTTCCTCCCACTTTTCTTGGGGTCAATGCCCAGCTCTGAGCTCATGCAGAGGCAGAAAGGCCACCTTCATCCATACTTGCCTAGCCTCCCTCTCTGTGGTCAGGCCCTGCTCGTGTCATCCTTAAGTGTTAGACCATCTCTGCCGCATCAGCTCCTCTCACTGTCCTTGGAAACTCAAGACACAGACCTTACTGGGACTTTAATTTGGGTTTTCTGGAAGCCCTTGGATGAACAGCTTTGGACAGTAAGCCATTCCTGAAAGTGCTACTGGCTAGTCTGCACAGTCCTAGCATTTCATTTCAGGGCTCCTTGGTCCCCTGACCCAGGCTGACTCCAGCCCCTTCCCTGCTCAAGACAGTTTCTCACTGTACCCCAGCCTATCCTTCAGAGTCAGGGACATGCAGCGACTGCAAGTGTCCTAACTCAAGGAGATTTGAAAATGTCAGTCCCTGGTTCTAGCATTGCCCTCCTAGAATTGCCCATCAGTGCCCAGTTATCTCTGTGGACACCTTGGTCCCAGGAGAGACACTGGCCATCTAGTCTGGGCAGACAGCCTGCAAAGTATTACCCAGAGGCAGGCATCAGCTTGACCTCTTTCATCATGTCCTTATAACCACCCAACCCTGACTAAAGTCCACATATACCTTTTAGCAACACCCCAGCAGGGTCTCTGCCCACCCTATCTGTGATGGGTGATTTGCATGGCCCATTTCATCAGCTAGATCTCCTCAAACAACTTGCTTCATGACAACTGGCTGCAACTTTAGGTTCATCCTCTGATCCTCTGGTAAGGTGTGTCCAGCATGCTATATGTAGTACTGAGTGTTCCTTGTCGGGAGTGTACCTTATGAAGTGTGCAGTATAGCATGTGTTGTGTGTAATGTGCAGTGTGAAGTGTGAATGTGGAGTGGCCTCTGTGTCTGGATCATGCCCTTGGGCTTGCATAAGTTGACTTCTTAGAAGATGGGGGCTGTACCCTGCCATGTCCAGGAACCCACCACCCTTACCCCTTCAGCATCTTTCCCAGGACAAGGAGATAAATCTAACTAACCACCGAATGCTGTTCTGATATTGCTATAGTTATCCTTACCTGGATGAGGCTTGCTAGCAGATAGAACACCACAAAGATCTTACTGTTTGGGACCAAATGGCCTTCCACCAAGTAGATGATGTAGAAGAAAATCAGATGGCCTGGAACCACCAGAAAGAGCAGGACTCGGGCTGATATGGAATTAATTTCTGGAAAAGACAAAACCAAGGATGTTGTATGACCTGTTGGACAGCAGAGGCCACCTTGGCATGTGACCGTCTCCAGGGAGGCATCCACATTCATTTATCTACTACATGAGTGTTTACTGAGCACCTACTACATGGCAAGCATGTTCTAGCAGATGGGGATACAATCCTGTCCCTTCCCTCACGGAACTGACATTTTAGGGAAGAAAAAAAAACCCAGAAGTGAGTAGCAGAAACAAACAAGAAACATCATTTGAAATTGACCAGTTCTAAGGGGAAAATAAACCAGGGTAAGGTAGTAGAGAACAAAGTGTATATTAGTATGATGAATACTAGAGACTAGAAGCCCCCTAGAGAAGATGACATATAAACTGACATATGAATCTGGAGGAGAGGACTCTGGGCAGAGGAAAGAGAACATGCAAGGGGCTTAAGGTGGAAGAGAGCTCTGGAATGTGGAAGAACAAAGGCTCAGCATGTGGAATTAGTAATCCATGGAAGGGTGGGACATTCATGGGGGGCCTCAGGCAGCCCCTTCCTCATGCTATACCTCTGGGATCTATTTGACACATTCTCTTTTGGCTTCAGCACTCAAAGAATTTGAGACTCTGCAAAAAGTATGACTTCTCTGCCCCAAACACTCACACTTTAAAAACTGTAACATGTGAATGCGACTGACTTCTCAAACAGAAATAGAGTTTCAATAAAAAGTCTCCACTTGTCTCTGAGTTAATATATTTCATCAAGCTAATAAGAAAGAGGAGGAATGATCATAAGGCTTAGAAGCTAAAAACACTACCATAAAATAATATGTAGAGAAAGGTGAGAATACTCAAGAGCTCCAAAATCTATTCATGATGAAAAAGTAGACAAGCTATGAAGATTCTTTGGAAAAAAAGTAGAAGCAAAATAAATAATTGCTATTGGCAGCTGACACTAAAACTCAAGAAAATCTATAGAAACACTACGTAAATAAAAATTCAGTAAAATAGTCAGATGCTGCTATTACTGGGTGCCCTCCACGACCCAGATCCATGTGTTGTAAGCTAACCCTCAATGTGATTGTATTTGGAAATGATTAGGTTATAAGGGCACAACATTCATGAATGCCATTAGTGCTTATAATCTTTTAAGAGAGACCTCACAAGGCTTCTTCGCCCCTTCCACCATGTTAACAACACAACAAAAAGACAACTGTCTAAGAACCAGGAAGCAGGCCATCACCAGACAGAATTTGTTAGTGCCTTGACCTTGAACTTACACCCACCAAACTATAAAAAATAAGTTTCTTGTGTTTATGATAGACCCATTCTATACCTCCATTATAGCAGCCTGAACTAAGGTACAGAAATAATAGAGAAAAAAAATAGATTTTCTGTATATAAATGACAAATCAGAAGATGTAATAGGAATTTCCACTTTAAGACAAGATGGCTAGACATATTTCTTCCTATTCCTCTCATTAAATACAGTTAAAACTCTTGAACATTATATATAAATCAAACATAAGAGATTTAAAAAGGTGGAGGGGGGCAGGCAAGATGGCGGAAGAGTAGGGTCCCCAAATCACTTGTCCCCACCAAATAACCTAGATAACCTTCAAATCATCCTGAAAATCTACGAATTCGGCCTGAGATTTAAAGAGAGACCAGCTGGAATGCTACAGTGAGAAGAGTTCCCGCTTCTATCAAGGTAGGAAGATGGGGGAAAAAGAAATAAAGAAACAAAAGGCCTCCGAGGGGGAGGGGCCCCGCGAGGAGCCGGGCTGAGGCCGGGGCGAGTGTCCCCAGGACAGGAGAGCCCCGTCCCGGAGGAGCAGGAGCTGCACCAACCTTCCCGGGGGAAAGGAGCCCGCAGGGAGTTAGAGCAGGACCCAGGAGGGCGGGGATGCCCTCGGGCTCCCTGGGACACTAACAGACACCTGCGCCCCGGGAGAGTGCTCCGAGCTCCCTAAGGGCTGCAGCGCGCACGGCGGGACCCGGAGCAGCTCGGAGGGGCTCGGGCGGCGGCTCCGCGGAGGGGGCTGCGGGGCGGGAGCGCTAATCCAACAGCGCAGGCCCCGGAGCACAGGGCGCCGGGACACAGCCCAGGATCCGGCCTCCCCCGGGACAGGCAGAGGCCGGGAGGGCCCAGGACAGCAAGGACGCTCCTGCACCGAGCTGAGCAGATCAGCGGCCCCGCCCCGGAGCCTCCAGGCCCTGCAGACGGAGAGCCCCGTAGTTCCTTCGGGAATTGACTCCAGGGCTGCAGAGCTGGCTCCGCCACTGGGGTTGTTCCTCCTGGGGCCTCACAGGAAAAACAACCCCCACTGCAAAAACAACCCCCACTGAGCCTCAGAGTGGCCACACCGGATAAACAGGATAAACATCACTCACTGAACCCTGCACCAGGCAGGGGGATGAGCAGCTCCCTCAAGTGCTAACACCTGTAAATCTGCACAGCAGGCCCTTCCCCCAGAAGACCACTAGATGGACAGGGGAAAAACAAATTATTGACCAAGCAAACTGGAAAGTTTCAGGGGAAGTAGAAGGATTTACAGTATACAGAATCAGAGGATACTTCCCATTGTTTTTTTGTTTTGTTTTATTTTTGTTTTTTTATTTCTTTGCTCCCTTTTTTTTCTTCCTTTTTTTCTTTCCTTATTTCTCTTCGCTCTTTTTCTCTTTCCCCAATACAACTTGTTCTTGGCAGTAGCACTGAGCAAAATGACTGGAAGGAAAACCTCACCTCAGAAGAAAGAATCAGAAACAGTCCTCTCTCCCACAGAGTTACAAAATCTGGATTACAATTCAATGTCAGAAAGCCAATTCAGAACCACGATTATAAAGCTACTGGTGGCTCTAGAAAATATCAGAAAGGGACACAGAACATAAAGACTCCTAACTCTGGGAAACGAACTAGGGGTGGTGGAAGGGGAGGAGGGCGGGGGGTGGGGGTGAATGGGTGACGGGCACGGAGGGGGACACTTGACGGGATGAGCACTGGGTGTTATTCTGTATGTTGGTAAATTGAACACCAATAAAAATTAATTTATAAAAAAAAAGCATAAAGGACTCAAGAGACTTCATGACTGCAGAATTAAGATCTAATCAGGCAGAAATTAAAAATCAATTAAATGAGGTGCAATCCAAACTAGAGGTCCTAGGACGAGGGTTAACGAGGTGGAAGAACGAGTGAGTGACATAGAAGACAAGTTGATGGCAAAGAGGGAAACTGAGGAAAAAAGAGACAATTAAAACATCCTGAGGATAGATTAAGGGAAATAAGTGACAGCCTAAGGAAGAAAAATCTACATTTAATTGGGGTTCCCGAGGGTGCGGAAAGGGACAGAGGTCCAGAATATGTATTTGAACAAATCATAGGTGAAAACTTTCCTAATCTGGGAAGGGAAACAGGCATTCGGATCCAGGAAATAGAGAGATCCCCCCAAAAATCAATAAAAACTACTCAACACCTCGACTTTTAATAGTGAAGCTTGCAAATTCCAAAGATAAAGAGAAGATCCTTAAAGCAGCAAGAGACAAGAAATCCCTAACTTATATGGGGAGAAAGATCAGATTAAGAGCAGACCTCTCTACAGAGACCTGGCAGGCCAGAAAGGGCTGGCAGGATATATTCAGGGTCCTAAATGAGAAGAACAAGCAGCCAAGAATACTTTATCCAACAAGGCTCTCATTCAGAATAGAAGGAGAGATAAAGAGCTTCCAAGACAGGCAGAAACTGAAAGAATATGTGACCACCAAGCCAGCTCTACAAGCAATCTTAAGGGGGACTCTTAAAAATCTTCTTTAAGAAGAAGTCCAATGGAACAATCCACAAAAACAGGGACTGAATAGGTATCATGATGACACTAAACTCATATCTTTCAATAGTAACTCTGAACGTGAACGGGCTTAATGACCCCATCAAAAGGCGCAGGGTTTCAGACTGGATAAAAAAGCAGGACCCATCTATTTGCTGTCTACAAGAGACTCATTTTAGACAGAAGGACACCTACAGCCTGAAAATAAAAGATTGGAGAAACATATACCATTCAAATAGCCCTCAAAAGAAAGCAGGGGTAGCCATCCTTATATCAGATAAATTAAACTTTATCCCAAAAACTGTAGTGAGAGATGAAGAGGGACACTATATCACACTTCAAGGATCTATCCAACAAGAAGGCTTAACAATCATGAATATTTAAGCCCCGAATGTGGGAGCCCCAAGAATATCAATCAATTAATAACCAAAGTTAAGACATACTTAGAATATAATACACTTATACTTGGTGACTTCAATGTAGAGCTTTCTACACTCGATAGGTCTTCTAGGAACAACATCTCCAAAGAAACCAGAGCTTTAAGTGATACACTGGACCAGATGGATTTCACAGATATCTACACAACTTTACGTCCAAACACAAGTGAATACACATTCTTCTCAAGTGCACATGGAACTTTCTCCAGAATAGACCACATACTGGGTCACAAATCAGGTCTGAACCGATACCAAAAGATTGGGATCATCCCCTGCATATTCTCAGACCATAATGCCTTGAAATTAGAACTAAATCACAACAATAAGTTTGGAAGGAATTCAAACATGTGGAGGTTAAGGACCATCCTGCTAAAAGATGAAAGGGTCAACCAGGAAATTAAGGAAGAATTTTAAACATTCATGGAAATTAATGACAATGAAGATGCAACCGTTCAAAATATTTGGGATACAGCAAAAGCAGTCCTGAGGGGAAAATACATCTCAATACAAGCATCCATCCAAAAACTGGAAAGAACTCAAATACAAAAGCTAACCTTACGCCTAAAGGAGCAAGAGAAAAAACAGCAAATAGATCCTACACCCAGCAGAAGAAGAGAGTTAATAAAGATTCAAGGAGAACTCAATGAAATCGAGACCAGAAGAACTGAGGAACAGATCAACAAAACCAGGAGTTGGTTCTTTGAAAGAATTAATAAGATAGATAAACCATTAGCCAGCCTTATTAAAATGAAGAAAGAGAAGAC